AAGGTGCACAGGATTTGCTTTCGCTGGTTTCTTGAAAAAAGCATCCCTGGGTTCAGAAAAGTTCCTATAGTGTTGTTACTGGGATACGAACAGGATTTGTGTTGGTTCCTTTGTGTCGAAGAGAAACAAACCACCAAAAGTAAAGATCAAAAATATCGCTTGGACTCCTACTGCGATCCGATGCGCGCGCAAGGCAAAGCGGCATACTCCACTTCCGTGGGCACGCCCGCCAACTTCTCGAAGGCCTCGGGGCGAGCGACCGAAATTTCCGTGGCATGATATGAAAAAGAAGGCTTGGCACCCTTGTTCAGCTTCCCGCTAGGTGATTTGGACTGGTGGTTTGATGGTTTGGTGGTTTGGTGGTTTGGTGGTTTGGTGGTTTGGGGGCGGTTTCCCAGCATGGGTTCAAACACCAAAGCACAAATCCAAACCACCAATTAAGGGTAACCTGACTTTGGGTTTCCCTTAAAAACAATCGCAAGGTTCATCCTCTAAAAAGACACGCCCATATTGTCTGATTGACCGTGGCTTATATGATGTGCATGGTCAATGTTCGTTGTGTCCCCTACTGAAATTGGATTTTGGTGAAACCCTATTTTTGGCGGTATTATGGTCAGCATGGCCAATATCGTCCCCCTACTACAGCAAATGATAGTAAAGCTTGACTGTGGCTCAGAGGCATCCAAATCTTTATGCATTCTCCCAACAAGTTGAGATGGCTGTATGGGAAAATTGGGTATATAGCCTCTACAAAATCTACAGAATGGTTGCATTTACCACGAATTATGGGGGTAGCCTTTGAACAGGGTGGCTAGTTTTGGTTGTCCTACCCTTGAAAAAGCTCATACCCATCAAATGTCACCATGGAGAATTTAGGCCACAACCTTTCTGCAGGGTTTGGGGCGCGGGTTCCGAAGATCTCTGCTGATTGATGAATCTGGTGACTTTCTGAAGGCAGGCCTTCTCAGATCTCAAGTCAACTTGATCCTCAAAGGTCGTGAGTGCTGGGAAGAACGGGCCAGGGAGGATGGAGCAACCCTCGTGGCTTATGCGGCATTCACTCCGAACGTTCCAAAGGAACCCTGGGGATGGCAAGCCAAAACACTCCGATGTGCGCAAGTCTACGAATGTGTTCCCTAGCACATGGGAAATGCGGAGCACCTGGTCTTTATGTGGCTGAAATTCATCGAGTCGCTGCCCGAACCTGAAATTGGACCGGACATTTTAAGACCAAACTAGGACACCATGGTCTTCCTTCTGATGTCCCTTTAAACGAACCTAAAAGACGGGTAGCCATGGTAGCCTCAAAAAGCGGCAAACCCAAAGGGGAATTTAAATGCCTTGTCTAAGGGGAACGACGTTCTCAGCACCTGGGAACCCCCCCTTAAAAAAATCGAGCAGAGGCCAGGGCCCGCAACTGATGGGTTTTCCTTTGATTTGCTCAGAACCAATGCCAATCAGGGTACCAACTGCAGACAACACACACCCGAAACAGTGCCCCATTTCCAAGTCTTGGGCTACCCAACATGGGTGTGTCTCTGTAGAGGTGGGCATTTTGGGGGTTGGTTTCAAAGGGACCCTTTGAAGTCGCCCATTTTTTCCGGGGGCTTGAATAATTCCTTCGCCGAACTGGGGGCACCGACGCACTTGGCGATGAGCGCGGAGTGCCAGGAGGTGCCGCAGGCGGCGATGATGAGGCGACTGGCGTGGGCCATCCGTTCCTCAAGCGAAGCGGGGGCCCACCGGGGTCCCACATATGGGTAGCGTGGTTCTCAAAGGAACCAAACAACTTGCCAAAATGGTTGGTTTCTTTTGGGTTTCCATTGAAATACCAGAAATGGCCCCCAAACATGATTGGTAACGTGCAATCACCCCTCTGGGCCCCCTGGGGAAGGCTAAACCAAACCTGTGATCGACGCTTTTGGCGGGGTTGCGCGTTGACGCACGTCGCAAAAGGGTCCAGAACAGACTCTTCAAAACAAAACAACAAGATTGGTTGGTTTCCTTGTGGTTTCCCTTTAAACCAACCCGCCTTGCCAGCAACAGTACGTAAGAGCATTGCAAAGGTTGCGCTTAATCCGAGGCCTCGCGTTGCGTCGTCCACCAATGCGGAGAAACCCTGGCTTGTGTAGAGCCCTGTCAGATGCCTGTTCTCTTTTGGCGCTCATGGCAATGAGTGGCCTTTCCATGAGGCTGGTCTCCCAGGGTCCCACCCTCTCCAGCAAGTCCAAACTAGAAAAACCTATCTAGGCACAAACCCCCAAAGTGTTCAGCCTTTGGGGGACAAATGAACAGTGCCTAAAACCGATTGCCCGTTGGTGCTTCTACATGCTTTCAAAGGTTTATGTAGGCCTTGACCCCAGGAAAGCCAAGTAGAACCACCTACTAAAACGGCCACTAGGACTCGCTTTCAGCCGCTCAAATCGAGCTCTGAGGCCCTGGCCAGCGGACTTCTGCCATCCACTGCCCGCTCCTTGGCCTCAAGCTTGGCTTCGGGTGGCAAATACAAGCCCCAACAACAGAATGTCAGAGAGAGAGAGAGAGAGATGGGATTGGGAGGTCGGTGTGTGTTTTGTAATAGATGGTGGTAGTAGCAGTAGCAGTAGCAGCAGCAGCAGGAGCAGTAGTAGTAGCAGCAGCAGCAGCAGGAGCAGCAGCAAGCTTTTCGTGGGCACCTGGAGTCCGGAACACGAGTGAGTTGGGTATCTGTCACGACCAGCAGGCCTTGAGAGGCAAAACCCAATTCTATCCCTATCGCTTCGCCGGCGCCAATTTGCAACCAATCCCCTGACGAAACCAGCAAGGTTTCCTGACTGGAAAGGCAGTCAGGTGTTCATCGCTGTTGGGCTCTGCGAAAAGTGGTTTTAGGGCACTGCACACATAATTGTCACCAGTGAAGCCAACTATGTTCCAAAGGCCACCTCGGATTAAGCCAAAGGGTCATATCAATCTGGGGAATCCACCCGCAAACCCCATTGAATGTGGTACACATTCATCCGAGGTCCTCATTCCAAGATGGATTCCACTAGCCTCAAACGGCGTGTACCCGTGGAACAATATAATGCTAGTAATTGTTCAATTGCTCAGCCCCATGCAGCCATTGTAGTGGTGGTTGGGGGGTGGAAATCCTGGGCCACCAGGTCTCAGGTCACCTGAGTCACAGTCGAAACTTGGTCAACAAGTCCGCCCAAACCAATGTAAAGAACTTGCTGGCGCTCAGGAGGGAAGAAATGGAATGAACCTGGGGATTCCCTTAAAGAAACCATAGGGGATCCCCTATCGCACCAAGACAATTTCAAGGTCGTTTCACTCTCGGGTTTTGCTTGTTCCAGGCCTTCTCAAGGCCTCCAAGTTTGATCTCCCAGACGTCCGGCGCAGCGTCCTGCATGGCGAATCGCTCGAGACGGCGAATGGCCGTGTCGCTTCTTAGGGGACCCCCCCCTCCCCCAAAAACAGGAAAGAAAGAGAGGCAGGTCTCCCTGTGTTGCCTCAAAACCAAAAAGCAAATATTGGAAAAAAGTATCAAAGTGTGTAAGGTGTGAGTGTGTGTGTGTGTGTCAAAATTGGGGACCCCAAAATGGCGATGCTCCTCTTTGCTAATTTGGGAAAGCAATTCCAAATGGGCTCATGAGAATATCATGGGGTGCAAGCGATCGGTCTCCGTTTGTCAGAATCCTTCGTGTCGTTTACTCCGACCATAACCCAAGTCGCAATATTGGGTATCCCACAACATTCTGATGATACTGGCCCTGCTAAGACTCGTCTGTAGCATTCCATCGAAACTCAATCCATGAGCACCCGAAGGAATTCTCTGTCGCATGGGCTGGGCAAGCCTCTTTTGACATGAACAGGAACCACTATGGCTGAAACAACCTCTTGTTCTGCCGCAGCTTTGCCCCCAATCCAAAAGTGCTATTTGGATTTTGGTCTATGTTTCTTAAACCTAAAACAACATAATTCCAAAAAAATATCCCAGTTTTGCTTCAGGGGACCTATCAATGGCTCAGCTTGCATGGCCGGGACGCCACATGCTACAGACATGCGGCAAGGAACGCGCGCGCGCGCGTGCGGCGTGTCCACCGGTTGGTAGATCCGGCCGCGCAGGGCGTTCCTCATGGCATTGGGCTGATCCTGGCATCACTCGCTGCAGCACCCACTTCAAACGGAGGGGTTGCCTCAAAATAGGAATCGGACCCCCAAAATGGCTCTCTTCCTTTTGGCTTCCCTTTAACACCAACCAAAAAGGGGGTACCCGGAACAAAACAGACCCAGACCATGCGCAAGCTCCGGCAGATCTACCATGTAGGCACGTCGCCACTCATGAGGTCCAAGGACAAAGCAGCCATAAGGTTCTGACGACACAACATTGGGATAAAATCGGCCGGGCAGACCATGATCTCCTTCAGCATGAAGTGCTTGAAGCCTCCCTTTTCGATCTGCTCCAGCCTCAGTGCTACACGCTCACCCCGCGCACGCACCATGGAATTATTGCAAAGACAGTTGGAAGGCTTCAGGAAAAAGTCCTTGCCCCCTCTCCTCCATGAGAGGTTCTTCAAAACCTTTTTTCTGGTGGGTAGGAGCCCGCAATGTCCCTCCTCATTGAACTTACCACTTCCAGCTTACTGGCCGAAACTGTCACGTGCAAAGCTTGCGTAAAAGCAGAATCAACTGGAAAATTGTCAAAGCCCAAATTCAGCGTGTCAGTATTTGCAAGCAGGATGCATGACGTCCCAAGTTGTTGCAAAAGGAATGGTTCAGTGATTCAGTGGCATGGTTGCTTTGTGTTGAGCCTTTTTGTTTTCCCAGAGGAAATACTGTGTTATTGCTTCTGTTCCGCCTTAGCCTACCCTAGAATATAACACTAGATAAATAGATGTAAGTCTTGACCAGACAATGTAATATTTTGGTCTCTTATAGTAACCCGAGACAAGACAACCGTTGTGTTTGTGGGTGTCGCACCCCCTCTTAAGGGACACCTATGATCCAATTTGGGGGTAGCCCAACACACGGGCTTTCAAATGGTCCATGATTGGTCTACCCCAGGCGTCATATTGGAGGAGTCCCTAGGCTCTACCAAGCTGATGACTACCAAGCTGATGAGTGGTGCCTGTCGGACACGGATCAGAACCCCTTACTCGTTATCAAAACCTGTGGAAATGATCGAAGAAAAAAGAACCGGGGCGGATATCCGCACCCATTGGGACTTTCCCGAAGCTTCACTGAGGTGTTGAGGAAGTTGGTCTTGGGAAACCGCCCTCACCAGGCCCCCAAATGGTACATCGCCCAAGAAAAACTTGGTTGCTGTTGACCCCCTGCAAAAAGCTTAACTTTTTGGGGTTTGGTGAACAACCCCTTGATTTTCCCAAAAGGCTACAGTGGCGGTCAAGGAACCGAGCCAAAGACCCCACCTGGGCCACCCGGCGACAGCTCCAAGCGCACGATGGGGTTCTCCACGTCGGGCCTGCGGGGGGACTCTTGCTGCGCCAGCTTCTTCACCACCGCCGTCATCTCCATGACCTGCAACCGCTGAGGGAACCCTGCCAGAAAAAGAACTGCATATGTATACACAAAATGTTTACGTAATTATGTACACGTATATAATTATACATGCATAATATAAATACAATTATATATTTATGCATATATGGACACAATATGTAAATATGCAACCCCTCTCGACGGATCCAGATCTGTAAGACCTATTTACCCGCAAAATTGAAGAAACAACTGTGATAGAACCCTTTACTACATTGCCCAAACAGGATCGGCTTTGACGCCGCTCAATTGGCAGCATTCCACCTTTGCTTACTTCTCGCTTCGAAGACTCGAACCACGGGATTTCCAATCCTTGAGGATATGGATCGACCAAGGTTTATAAGTCTTGTGACCAAACATACGAAACGGCACCCCGCTGGGGTCGCTTTCAAAAGGGAACTCACAACATGCTGCCCACTTCAAGCCGGGCGTGGCCTACTTGGCTCCGTCTCAAAATCAGGCAACGCCTAATCTGCTTGGTTTCCCCCGTTACAAGCCTCAAACGGGTACTGGCCCAAGCTCACGCCATTTCCCACCCAGCTCGCTGGGTTGCCAAATCTCACCGGCCCTTTGTGGTCACCGCCGCGCCCGCCTTGAAGCTGGATCGACGCACCTCCACAATCTCCCCCTCGCGCAGGTACACCACGTCCTCTTGAAGGCTCAGCCAGCCCGCGTTTCGCATTGGATGCCAATTGGGACAAGGAAGGGTGGCGAAGTGGCAACCGCAGGAGACCAGAACAGGTCAACAGCTTGCTCAAAAGGAAGCTGTGCCTGGTCAAAGGAGTGAACATTCAAAACGAAAGCAGGCATGCTGCTGCCGAAAAGACGCTAAAGGTCCATCCCGGCTTCCAAAATCAACCACAAAAGCCTTGGAGCGGGGGGGGGGGGCAAACTCAGTTGGACATCTTGAAGTGGGGCTCAAAACAAAAGGGTGTGTCTTTGTTTAAGTGTCCCCAACAAATGATCATTGTCCTGTTGGCAGAGCCAAGTCACCTGTAGCTTCCCAACCGAATCTTTGCAGGCACCCACCCACCCAAGAATGAACAGAACCAAGAACTACACATGTAATATCCAAGTCCATATCACGACTGACTAAAGGCATTCTGAAAATGAACAGTACCAGAAGAAGGGATACAACAAAAGAAATAGCGGCCAACCACATCCAATCGCATTCAACCACAAACCCCTACAAGATTCCGGAAAATACTAGTAACAGGGCCAACTTGTTCCTCTGCGTGCTTCGCCTTCAGTTGGCATGCACTACGGGTGAAGGAAAAACGGACTCAACCAAGAAACACAAACAAACAGGGTACCTTCTGAAGAGTAGCAGGTACTTCATAATTATTGGGCCTGTCTCAAAATGGGACCCGGTGATTTCCTTCTGGATTCGCCTGAACACAATCGAAAAAGGTACTGAGCTCAAAGCAGCACACGCCCAGAAGGCATAATATGGCTGTGGGTCAAAACCAATGGTAGCATTTTGGGCTAGGTGCACCACACATTTTAGAACCTATTTTAGTGGGGATTGGGATGTTCACTGGGCGTACAATTTGGATTTTGACCCATGGCCATATCCGTACCGCAAAAGCAAATGCCCCATCACTCCGCTTCCTTGGTATGCTCGACGATGGCGGAGGCGTCGCTGGCCAGCATGTGCTCACCTTCCCCGACCTCAAAAGGCTGCCACGCGGTTCCAGTCACCATAGGCACACCATTTGTGGCGATTGCCCCTTGGCAATACCAAAACAAAAAGGCATTTATTCATTATATGATATATATATATATAAAGAACAACTCAGTGTGTGTGGGTGTGTTGGCGGGAAAACACACATCTCCCCATAAGTCCAAGATCCAACCAAGTCAAAATTCCAACCAAACTGAAGGGAAATCCCTTACTACCTAACCATGCCCTTTCGGTCTCCAGTAGGGCAAATTAAACGTCATGGGCTATGTAGCACCCAGTTAAACAAGCTAATGGACAAATCCCTAGCCAAACTGGCACCCTCGGGCCACGTCAAAATATGCCTTCGGTCCCCTCTCCGAATGGACTGGAGATTTTGATTGAACAGCAGTGAAATATGAGATCTTGGACACTGCAGGAGTCGAAGAATCCGACGAGACTCCCGATTTGGGAGCTTGTCTCCAGTGATATGGAGCCTCAAGAATGGGCCTTCTCCTTCCCTCCAAACCAACCCCAAAAAAATGCAGCATCGACAAAAGGCGCATAAACGTGGGTCTGAGTTTCAGCTGGGGGGCCCAGGGCGCCGGAATCGCGCAACGCGGAAACGCGCAGCCGAAAAAGTTTGCAGCTGGCTTGGGTCAAACCAAAGCGTTGGAAAGGACTTATTTGTTTTGTTTTACTTCCATATTCATTAAAAAGTGTTGGGCCACTTGCCTGAACCAAGGCTCAAACTAATCTCGTTTCAACCTCCTTTGTGCTTCAAAAATGGGCCGGCTTCAAAACAAAATACACCCAACCCTGATCCCGCAAGCCTCCACAGTGCCTTGTGGGTTCTGGGGCAACGACGCCCAGGATCAGGGGCGAGCCCTTGCGGGCCCCAATGATCAAATCTGGCTCGTCCTGGCGAAGAGGGAGATCAACCACCCAGTTGCCACCCACCGCCAGCTACCAGGCAACTACCAGGCAACTACCAGGCAACTACCAGGCAACTACTAGGCAACTACCAGGCAACTACCGGGCAACTACCAGGCAACTACCAGGCAACTACCAGACAAATTGGTAGAAGCGCAATAGAGAGAGGCCGACTGCGAAGCAAAGGGAGATAGAAAGCGATTAACTTGCCATGCGAATTGACACTGAAGTAATCAACCGGGCCAAAATTGGGGACCCCTTGTGGGATGTTGTTTTTCTTGGAACCGAAAGGAAACAATCCATGTGGGCATCCAAGCTTGGAGACAAACTAATATGCCCCTTACTCGCCAAAACGAGACACGGGACGGAAGGCCGCTGCAGGGGAGGCCAATTATAGTCATGGGCAACCCCGGTTGCAAGATCTGTGGGGCTGTCTGCCGGTGGCTTCTCCCTTAGCCAAAACTTGTCGAAGTTTGAGTGCAATATGAAAAACTCCCAAACTCGAAACATTCTACAAGTCTATGGGTATGGCTGGGAACCGCCGCAAAGGTTGTATCAACTTAGGTACCAAATCCATCGCCTTCAGAAAACCAGAGCCCACGGAATCGCCAAACTGGCCAACTGGTTGAAACAATCTCCCGCCATCCGTTTTGTTCAAACCAATTGTGCAACCAACCCTGCCACTCCCAGCCACCCTTTTTTGGGTAGCACATTTTAGAAGGGAACCATTCAACACAAAGGGAAGAAGGTATTTCATCTATAAATGAGGCCTTTGGGGCTGTATGTGAAGGGGCAGTGGCCATGGGATAAAGGGGCCCCTCTGCCAGCCTCCCTCCCTCCAATTGGTGGTTTGGATTGGTGGTTTGGTGGTTAAGTAGGGGTTTCCCATTTACCCTCCACAAGAACCAGTTCAAATCCCAACCAATTCCAGGGCACCCCTCGACTCTTGGTACTTGATTCACCCCTTCAAGAAAAAAAAAAAACGAAACGAAACACCGAGGCACGGGTCACCCGACGTCGGAAAATGTTCAACCGACCCGGTCGACTCGGCAGTTTGCTCCTCAAAAATGAAGGCCACGCCGTAGGCGCCTTCGCAGAGCCGCAGGGCCGTGGCCACCACCTGGCGAGAGGCCGAGAGGCGGGCCCCCGCCTTTGCTTCGCAGAGGTAAGGACAGCCCCCCCCCTGGCTCACTTTCGAAGGAGTGGATTGGCCAAAGAGCCAAATTGTTGGTGTACCACCAAAATGGTCAAGAAGTTTTTGAAGTCCAGGAACTCGGCAAGTGAGTTGGTTGCGAACCCCAAAGATCCGTACCTGGTTGTTCTTTGGCACCAGTTTTGGCCACGATTTGCAAGTCCAAAAACACTTACCGTGTCCAAAAAACACCATGTCGTCAAATATCACAAGCTCGGCCTTTCAACAACCCCCATGAAATCAATTAGTAGAACCACCTACTAAGATACCGGCGCTGCTCATGTGGAACTCGACATCCAAAAAAACATAAGCACGTGGCGCAAAGGCGGAAAATTGATGAAAGGGGAGAACGCGAATTTCCACCCTTGAGTGTTGGTCATCTTTGAAAGCTGTCAGAACTGTCCAAGCTGTCAGAACTATCCCCGCAACCTGTAGCTTCTTGTTTGGATGCAGAATCAAACCTGGAGTCTACCAGGACTCCCACCTGAGAGAACCAAACTCAAGCCAGTTCAGCTCCCAAAAACAATAGGCAGGCAGGGAGGAGCAGCTGCTACGGTGGGGGTAAGGCTGCATTTGCAGGCATGCACGAGGGGCTCCCAAAAACTGTGTGTTCGGGAGAGAGGAGCAACAGGGCTCCCACAAAAGTCTGCTTTTGGTAGCAGCTCCCACAAAACGCGAGGTACAGTTTCGCAGGCATGCGCAAAAACAGTGCTTTTGGAGGGAGGAGGCGATGCGGGATGCGTGCCAGGTAATGCTGAGTATGCCGGGGATGCGGACCCTGAATCACCAGCATCATTTGCATTGAAATTGAGGAACAAAAAGGCTGAATAAACCCAAAAAGGATGTCCGCCGTTTACCCCTTAACATCTGGATTTTCGCGCCACATTACAACCTTGCCTCCCCCCCACACCCCCAATACCCAAAGAACTCGAGCTGATGGCTCTCGTGAGACAACGATTCGCTTCCCTTTAGCTCTGGGAGTTGGACGAGTTGGTCTGAAATCCATCCCATGCCCAGCACCCCCCAACAGCTTTTCCCCCATGTCCAAAAATCTCAAGTACTGTCCAAGGCAGTCGTGGGCTTGATGGGAACGGTCTGTGGTGCGCCTGGCCCAACTCTGGGCACTGAACATCTGGTCAACTGGTCCTTTGTGCAGTCGGCCGGATAGAAATACATTCCCACCCCTCGGTCAAGTCCAGGACGAGGATTTAATCAGACCATCTTAAATTCCAAAGCCTGCAAGGGGATCCAGGGTATGGGTCAATACAGGGGTGTTCCCCAAAATGGGAGAGGTCCATTCCAGAAAAACAAACCAAAGGGACCGAATCATAGCGATCTCGTCCCAGCCCAAGGTGAGCTCGGGTCTGTCTGCAATGCGCTGGAAACCAACGAGCGGCGCCTGTGTCCAGTTGGCGCTCTCCATTTGTCCCTTCAGGTCCTTCCAGTGCCCGGGTTTCCCCGATAAGTTCGAGAAGGGAAACTCCGGTGAGCCAGGAAGCCCGGCTCTGCTTTGGGGAAAACCGGCTTGGACGCGACCTTTGGGTCGCCTTAAATAGGGGAACCGGGAACCCGCGAACACCGGGTTGGACGCGACCTTTGGGTCGCCTTAAATAGGGGAACCGGGAACCCGCGAATACACGGGACTAGATGATCCCGTTGGTGGTTTGGAGTTGAATAATTGAAACTACCAATCCAAATCACCAAAACAGGGCCGAAAGATTCAATCGACCCCAAAACGATGCCACCACGACAAGGGTTGCGTTGCTAAAAAACACGAAATTGCCATGATCACATGGGTAAACTATCTAGACACCGTTTTGCTCCTTATACTACCCGCAGATTGGGTGCCATGTTGATATGCGACAATCGCAACATAGCCTAGCCGGCACCCAAAGGCAACCCTTCGTCATACATGTCAAGCAGCTTGAAGGCTTGGGTCCTTTCAAAGGCACGAAGCAATCGCTCAGAAAAAGAAAAAAAAAACGCTGGGCGCAAATGGCGCAAAACCCCATGGCACAAATGGCACAAATGGGACAAACATGTAGCATGGCACAAGGGCACTATAGTGAGTTTATCAATCAGTTGGCATACTGCACATTTGGAGATGTTCCATTGGGCGGAACACAGTTGGAAATAGTGGTCCACGTGCAAACTCAGCCGGTACTGTGAGTGCAACGCTAAGTTTTCAGCCGGTCCTTCACCAAATGAGCCAACAGCTCGGTGTCAGTCTGGCTGACAAAGGTGTAGCCCTTGCTTGCCAGCCTTGCGGCAGCTTCCGGCGCTTATGACACATTGAACAACCACACCCGTTGGTCCCAATCAAGGGCGAAACCAAAAGAAAGCTGTTACAACATTCGGTGCTAAAACCGGGGGGTTGGCCCAACCCTAGCAAGGTGTCCATGTGGTTTTTGTGGGCACCTTGGATTGGTCCCCCAATCCATTCCCTTCAAACCAACAAAGGGCCACCAATGGTTTTGTTCGTGTGCGACACGGGCGATATTCATTCTGCCCCCTGTTCATTCTCTTGCCCATCTCTGCAAGGCGCGTTTAGCACGCGAAGAATGTCGCGAGTCCAAGAGACGGATCCCTGCGGGGTAAGCTCTCAAAGTGTGAGACCACTTGAGTGGATTGGCCAAAAGCGACCAACTGTGGTTTGCAACTAAAAATGGGGAGCATCGGGAGTGAGTTTTCGTGCAAGGAACAACCCCTGCCCTGGGCAGTGGGGCAGCTGCACTGGATTGGGCAACAGGGACCGTTTTCAGGTAAGAGGAAAGCCACTGGGCTCGAAGAGCGATTGCCATGTCCCACAGCTCCGGGCTCCGGGCCAGGGGCGGGTTGGGCTCTTCTTAAGCGGGAGGTGGGTGCCAAACGCCCGTTTTTCAGGAGCTTGTTGACATCAAGCTGCTTGAAATGCTTGACCCTTGAACCAAAAGGCAGTCAGGGGGTCTTATCAACCGGCTGGGGCACCCAATTGAATTTCTTCATCTGGGCATCTGAAAATCTCGCCCTGCTGAGGCACCGGCTGCTTCTTTAGGGCCTGGTGATTTTCGATGACCCCGTTGTGCACCACCGCAACGCCTACGCGGTGGCACTGGCTGGGATCTCCCGCATGTCCAAAAAGTGGCCATGGGATCCGGGTTCTCAAAATGGTTTTTCCGCTTGGAGGTTGATATGTAAAGGGAAACCAACAACGGCTTCCCAAAGACTATTTTGTTCATGTAAAGGGAGATTCCCTTGTGAACCCTTGATCCCACAACCCTGAACCAAAAGAGCCACAGCGAGGGCCACGAGTTCGACCCAAAGCGTCCAAAGAAATATGTGGCCCTGGGATTCAGAAGTGACGCGCAAGTGGCTCTGGCGATTGGCCGGCCGTCTTTGACGGCCGGAGAGAAAAGGTTCATGTATGTCCTTACAGCACCCAAAAGGAAACCAAGATCAAAATGGCCTTTCTGGGTGTGCTTTGAGGGCAGCCTTCTTTTCGGTCGGTTTAAAGGAGAACTAAAAGGGACCTCAAAGGAAACCACGATCTGTTGCAGTGCCCTAATAAAATCGGATACATGGATGTCCGGCTTCCCTCAAGTCTCAGCTTCGCCCGTGCTTCGGACAACCCAGCCCAATGGGTTTTGGAGGCATGGAGGCTAGTTGCACTTAAGGGCAAAGATTAGTTCCCACTGGCCCACAGCGCCCGTTGTTACCGGCCGTTTCCAAGGACGAAAGGCGCCCCAAGACCAACCAAAAGGCGGCGCAAGGGGCAACAGCAGTTTGCTTCTCTGAGACCTCGGCTGGAGTCCGCCGTGGTGTGCGGGTGAGAGTTCACGTCCGAGGGTTTGCCGTGAGTGGCCCAGCGCGTGTGCCTTGACCCCGAGCGGATTGCGTCGAGCAAACTGCTTTACAATTTGGATCCTGTAAATCAGCCTATATGTGGGTGATATCTTGCCCCGAGCAGATCCATCCGATCAAAGCAAAAACCCATACTGAGAACTGGGTCCCTCACCAGAAGATTCTACAATTTGATATTGTCTAATGAGGGGGACCCCCAAAACATGGCCCTTTGGTTGCCCTTTGGTTGCCCTTTGGTTGCCCTTTGGTTTCTCTTTAAAAAGCAACCCCTTAAAGGGTACCGAGCCTCAAAAAAAGCACCTCAAATGATTGTTTCCGCGCTCCATCTTAACCTGTAGGGGGTAGCTTCCAAAAGGTCTGAGTCTGAGGGTCTTTCTGCAGGATCCATCGCATCCAAGACAGGCCACAAAACTGCATCGTCAACCAAGCGCAAGATGCACGGAGATACGATGTGGCTTGACTGAATGTTCAACGGGGAATAAACCCATCCTTTCACAAATGTTCCACTACTGAGTCAAGTGAAAAGTAGATGTATCAGTCAACCATTGCACGCTTTGTCTGTTTCGCTACTGTATGTCAAGCTTGAAAACAGTAAGTCCCGAATGGGTGTGGTGTTTTTGGGGGGGTAGCCGCCGACCTTACAACCAGCAAAAGGAGGTGTCCCTTCAAGAGGAAACACTCCCAACCGGAGTTGTCCCCTTAATTTTCTCACCAATCGCTTCCTCTCAAAATCGATGGTGTTTGTTTTCAGGTTCGGGAGTGGTTCTCCGAAATTGGTGCCCAACCAAAACGCTGGTTGGCCTTCCCCGCGTCGGGGCTCAGGTGCCCCGGCGCGATGCCGCAGGTGCCGGACACCTGGTCACCCGCCTTGGACACGTCCTCCTCTAGATTGGACACCTGGACAAAACAGGACATGTTCACAGCGAACCTCCCGAGGATGGTGCCAAAACAACGGGATGCCCCCATTAAACCCCAAACAAAGCCACGAAGAGTGTGCTATATTGTGAAGTGATACATTTGTTGGTTGATAGCTGGACCCTCATCAGGTGGGTAGAAATTCGGCAATGCTGAAGAAAAGGAACACGAACGGACTTTGCTTTTCCATGTTTCTACCCCTGTGGCTTGGTCGTCTCGATGCTCGCAGCAATCCAAAATCAAAGACAAACAGCCATCGGATCCCAGGTGTGTCCACAGTAGGTATCCTGCCATTCTCCGTTCAGACTTTTAAAGGGTGGGTACTCCTTGGGTAGGTAAAACTGAGATTAATGGTGAATTCGCCAATTAGCCGGAGGTCAATTGGCTGGACTTCTTGGACATGAAAAATGGGTATCCCCGAAACTGGCTGGTTGTTCCGGTTGATTTCCCTGCAACCCCCGTCTAAAGCGCGTGTCCCTGATTTTTGCACATCCCCGAAATCCAGTATGCCATCGAAATCACCACGGAGTTGCCCAACAGGCCGGTAGAGGCTACTGGATTTTCCCCGGGTGGTCCAAATCGAAATTGGACCCAAAAAAATATGGTCAGCGCTGGCGCGCTTGAACCCGAACTGCAAGTGCCGGAAATGGAATCCTCAGGTCCACCATGCGAGAGGAAGGATGGCCAAGCCCCTGTTCAGTCAAAGTGCTCAAACTAAGTGTTGACAATTTGAATATCTGATGCAAAAAGTCCGCGTCTGGCCCAACTCGAAGCATGCATCATATGGCACAAAATGCTCTGCGGAAAAGCCCCAAGTCGATGGCAGGTCGTGGATCCAAATAAGAACGCACTTGAGTAAGCACAACCCCTGATTGGTTTTATTACAGTAAGTTAACAAGGGATGCGTTGGAGGGCACGCAAACGACTGTCGAGGGTTGCTCCATTTGGATTCCCTATATTCGCCATTCGCTTGAATGGCTTGGCCCAAAAGGCTATGGTTTGGAAATCAAAATAAATCGCAATCGAATGAGAAATATGGGAATCGGGAATCACCCCCTGTCCATGTCCCTTCCCTCGCAAAGAAACAAGTGGGACAACCCCCAATCTATTTTTTAAGCCCATAAACCAAAGGCAACATCGAGGTTACAAAACCGGGTGCCTTCATTTCCGACAAGGTGGGTGAAGGGGGGTACAAAAAGGTGCAACATGGAGGCTAAACAAAACAAAATGGGCTGAACACCGGGATGTCCGGTTTTCCCCAGGCAAACTGCTCAGGTCCCGCGCCTTGCCCACCTTCTTCCGCACTTTGAGCGGACCCCCCTGGATGCCAATGCCGGCCGAGTCATAGCCGCGATACCTCAAACACCGGCGGCATCGATTGCCAACTTTCAAAATCCCATTAGCCTTTAAGGAGGGAGGTTGCCAGTGCGTCAAGGGTCGGCCACAAATCTAAAAAAAAGATGTCAAATGCTGGTGCATATACCAACCAGCCAGCCAGCCAGCCAGCCGGCCGGCCGGCCGGCCAGCCAGCGACCAACCCAATCTCCGACAATCGGCACCTGATGGTAAGCTCAAACCGATGCTAACTAGCCCCTGATATTACCATTCCAAGAGTCACCTCTGTGACGGAACTCTGACTTTGAACCCCAGAAACGGTTAAAAATACAGGGCCCTTATGTGACTGACCCAGGGTTCCTAGCGACAAGAGGGTTGTTGCCTGCGTTCTTGTAAGACCTCTCGAAGGTCCTTCAACCAGCAGTGGGACCATGACCTTTGTTGAGTTCATGTTTGAGCCGGTCGTTGAAACAACAAGGAACCAAATCGGGCGTGGTTGATTACATGTGGTTGCAACCGACCCTACCCTCTAGCAAACGGATTGGATGCCATGTTTGCGGATTCCGCCGCTTATTCTCACTCTTGGTCTTTGTTTGGTACTGTCTGGTGGGTTGTCAAACACACGGCCCCGTGGACCCTTGTGCCGCCTTCTGCCCTTCTTGCGCCGCTTAAAAAGGAAAAAATACCCTAGAAATGGCCACTGATTTAGACCAACCCCATCCAACCCCCCCATCCAACCCCTGGCACTTGTAAGTACTCGCAAGCTCGAGCGCCTGACTCAAGGCGCTTCAGGGCAGTGACCAGCAAAGCGGCGGCCTGACGTCTCCCCTGTCCCCGTTAAAACCATTTCCGTGGGAAAGAAAAAACCGGGCACCCATTTTGGTTGGCTGCTGAATACCCCCCTTCTGGCACAAAGAGAGAACAATCGGAGCCACTGGCCACTGGGTGTCGGTTGGCTCTTTCTCCTTCAACACGTTCACTGATCAGGGTTGGTTTCCCTCTTTGGCTGTGAAAAAGAACAACAGACCCAGGTACAAAAGCAGGAGGGGGGCCGGTTCTCCTCCATTTTGTCCACCCTGTTTGTTTGAACAAAAAGGCGAATAACACCCATCACCACTCTCATTATGATATTGAAAAGATTGTGCTAGACATGGGCAACTACATATACACCCCACAACCATAGCAGAAAACAAGTGGGGATTCCAAACCGAGTACTAAGTGGATGGGACTAAGCGATTGCGGACTTTACTTCGGCGCACCGGTTTTTATTGTCATTTGGGGACAGGTTTACCCTACAAGTTGAGGGTGTGTCTCCGCATGTTTTTGCTTTCCCCCCAAAAGGGTTGACAAGGCGGAAAACGTGGCCCCTTCTTGCTGCTTGCCCAGAACTCTTTGAACAGGGGTACGGTCTACAAATGGTCTACAAGCAAAACATGAAAACAACCCTGCTAGGAGGGGTTCGGCGTGGAACCTGCCGAGCTATTCCATGGCAGGCACTGAGGTGACCTAAAAAAGCTCGGAACAGCAAATAGGATTGTCACCCCTACTTCATTCTCGATTGTGGGGTGGGGCAAATTGAGGGCCTGGAAACTATGCGATTCCCGTGTCCCAACCCCCTAAATTGTTTGCTTTGACCGAGCCTCATGTGTGCCATGGACAAATAACCTTTGCGGGGGCCAAAGTGCAGCTCTGCAAGGCCGACCCGCCTGTCTGTCGCCGATGTATGCGAAAATGCCGCACATCGCACCTCGACTCGTCGGTTCAGAAGGGCGGGTTGTAATGACAAATAAAATTGAAGCTTCTGGTTCCTACGTCCCTAAAAAGTGGCTGAAAACACGAGTGGCTTCAACGTGTCGAAACTGTGGCCCCCTGGCTCAATTCTGGCATAGGAGTCTCTTTTGGCACATAATCTTGACTGGAAACCCGTCTCCGGATGGTAATCGCTAAATGGATAGTAACCCTACAAGGTTTACCACTTAAACGGGCAGAGGAGATAACCTAGGCTTCTGCAAGGCTCCCTCCAAGTCGATTTGGGCAGGCCAGCGGAGAGATATCCCGTGGTAGACGTTCACTTGCGTGACAATTCATGCCCATCACATAATTTTTGAGTGAGACGGCGGGGGGAGCAGGGCAAGAAGTGTGACTTACCTCTGCGGTGAGGAAATCAAATGTTTCGGCTCGGCCAAAAGTCTTTCGTTTTCGATTTTGGCAGTGTCAGGCGCAAGGGAAGGGCAACCTCCAAATGTCGAAATCATGTCCAAAGCATGCCGTGCCCCTGCTTCAACCCTCGGCTTTCTTCAAATACATACAGCAGATCTCTTATAAGATGGGATCCCTTTGCGACAATCGCGCGAACCCAGCTTGTGCTGGGTTCCCCAATCCGAGCTTTCAGATTTCAGCTCCCGGCCTAAGGCTCTCTACGGAACCCTAGGAACCCCGCAGCGCTCCCGTTCCACCCCAACCCGCTGGAAGCTCCCCAATTTACTGGTGGGGTTAGTTTGGGGGTCTGACGAACTTGGTTAGGCAGTAGCAGGTGGCGCCTTTGGATACCGCCCCTAAAGAATCAGAGAGAACGCTAAAGGCAAAACGCGTGTCCTTTGATGAAGCTGCACCCGATCACCTCCCAGAACTGAACATCGTTGCCCCGCATAAGAGCTCAGTGGTTGATTCCCATTCCCATGACTTTTGCACAAAAAAGCGGATTCCCGCTTTGGTGCCTCATGAAAGCAAACCAAGGCAAACAAAACTCGTGTGCCTTTTTGGGTGGACCATTGCTGCTCTCAGCAGAACCAGTTTTCTACCAAGCCAATCGCGCCCAAAAATAGGCCAACGGCGGTCATAGAACAAACCAATTGATGGACGAAACTCACAAAACCCACTTGGCACTGGTAGGCGACTATCCCAGTGCCGATTTTAAGATGCCCCAAAACCTTGTTCTATTGTTGGCGCGCTGCGAGTTTCAATGAGGACCCCAAAAACGGTTCTTGGCCCACAGATGGGGTACTCCAAAAATGATGGTCTGATCCCCAGTTGTAGTTTACCCTCAAATCTACAATAGTTTTGGAGAATGCAGGGTCAGATTCCATCTGATGCCCGAAGGTTCCCCAACATCCCATTTTCTGAGGTTGGGTACCCGTTCGCAGGCTGCTTCTTGTGACAAATGGAAGGGAACCCGAGCCTCATTTGCTCCGAAATGTTTAAGACAACTCCATGGGGAGTGCGGGAAGAGCGGGCCAACTCAAACACTTCTCGCAAGAATGGTCTCATCTTCCAGCATGGGTTAGGCGGATTCCATCGATGGAAGATTCCCCGAGAGCGTTTGCATGACCAACGCGGGCTGAAATTCGACCGCCCCCAAAGGCGCCAGGTGGGTAGGATTCTGCTTATTGACCCACCGGTGCAACATGATTAAGGCCTTGAACCCCCTAGATCACCCGAGCGCCCGAGTGTTCGGGGGTTCTGCTTGGACTGCTTGGTCGTATCTTGTTTTGAAGGGAAGCCCACCAGTGGCCCGAGAGGAAGCCCGGGTCTGACAAAAGGCAAAGCTTTCAGGCACTCCCAGAGTGCCTGAGACGGAAAGCCGGGGGGCTTGAAAACAGAAAGTGGTCGACAGCCAGATTTCCCATTCCAAAATATGACTTGGATGGAGGGGGTCCACCATTTTCAGGTGTTCCGAGGGCTTTTTTCTATCACTCTTCATTGTGCTCCGCCAAGGGAATTCAATGAGCACCCGCTTTGTTGCTGGTGAGTTGGGCAGTGTGCCTCAGATTGATGGCGGTGGGGATGCCCCCAACTGTTTAGCCAAAGAGGCACCCCGGGAAACTCAGCCTTCATGGATATAGTCTCAAACAAGGGGCGCCCCGCGAAATTGGGGGGGGGAGAAAGGGCCTGCTTGCACCTTTCAATTGGGGGTTGAGTGGTGGATTGGCCTTAGGTCTTTGCAAGAATGAGTCTTGCGAAAGGTCCACTTTGGGTCCAGGGTTCCCTATGTTTGCCCTTAACACATCGCCCCAACCCACCTTTAGAGCAAAATAGGTGATGCTTAAAACCAAGAAACGGAGTATAGGGACCGCGATCTCTCGTTTTTGCGAAGAGGGTCAAAAGGGGTCGATGCAAACACCAGGCCCCTTGGTACCAAGGGAACCCTTTCATTGGACAAAGCGCCTCTCAAAATATCAGCTTCCCTTGAATTGGCAGTTTGGTGGTTTGGACATAGGGCACCTTTCCAATTTGGTTTCATTCAAATCCCCAAACCCCCAATCCAAACAACCGTCTAAGGGAAAATAGGAAGAATTACCTCCAAGTTAGTTGGGGTCCCCTAAGCCACCCCAAAACGGGTGCCCTCGAAAGACAGGGCTGGCGGCAGCGAAGTGCCCTGCGCCCCCGGACAGCACGGCTACAGCCTTTTCTACGCTCCAGTCGCGTGCGCACGCTTTGAGCCAAATGCCAGTTCCTTGCAGTGCAAAACTCTATGCTTGAGGCTTGGTTGACGCTGGAAGGGGATCAAATATTTATTTTTTAGCAGTTAAGTGGGGATTTCCCACTAAATCACAAAGCAAAAATGTAAAATGTTTCCCAACAACAACCATGTATGGCTTGCACTGTCTATAAAGCCATGCCTGCATTCAGCCTCCCATTCCCTCCTGACTGCCTACGTGAGGTTACAACTACACCACACAGGAAAGTGACTCATGAGGCCCAAATGGTAAGACGTTATTTGCGTGACCCGTTCAACGGGTTCAAACAAATTCGTATGCTACACAAAATGAGAGCGTCCTTTGGTGCAAGCGATCGGAGCCCGTTTATCAGAACCCGTTTGGGGTCCCCTGAATTATCTGGAAATAAGCCAACATGGGGAAGCGTCCCAGTGTTATGCCGTCGGCGTAAGAGACAAATCTTTGAACCTATATCCAGACCGCCTTGATTTCAAGTTGCTCCCTTGTCTTCGCGCCTTCCGGATGGACGGTCGTGCCTGGTACGAATGTTGAGAAAAGTCAAGGGATTTGCGCTCAGTGATTCATGCAATAAGTGGGACAATTGGGCGTACAGTTTGTTTTGGTCCCATGTCCTCACCAAATGACTCAAATGGCCTGGTCTAAAAACTGGGTTCCGCTTGCCCAGGGTGGCAGGTGGCTTTCACTCAGGTCAGTTTCTTGCAACGGGCAACATAGGATTCACACGGGCAATTGGCTGTTCGAGGAGTGCGGTGTGGCTATCACGCTTTGATTGGTGCGTGAATGTTGCTGCCTCTGTTGTTGACGTGGTTGTTGACGATGACGATGACGATGACGATGACGATGACGATGCTGATGATGATGATGATGATGCTGATGATGATGATGATGATGATGATGATGATGATGATGATGATGATGATGATGATGATGATGATGACTTGTTCCTTCCTAAAAAGGCCACGTGGATTTCGAGCAACAGTTCATGCTCGCCAAAGATGCTCTCGGAACAACCAACAGCTGTACGAGTGCGTTCATGCTCACCGCAAACATCTGTCTTACCTGCGGCGAATTGCAAGTGGCGCCATATCAACAAACTTCCAACGCCGTCAGGTGTGCAGAACCTAAGAGAATTTGCTGGTAGTTGCCCTATTTTTGAGTCCATGTTGACCCTTTCTCAGCCCAGTTCGAGCATTTGTCCATCCACGCATTTGCGCAAAACGCTTTGTGGTGCTTTGAAGACTTTTGGGATCCAGGCATCGAATATTCTCAGGACTTTGGTGTTTGAGTCTTCAATGCAGGCAGAGCCCTGGGGGGCGCGGTGCTGCTTTAGACAAAATGCTTTGACGTGCTTTAAAGCGTTAGATTCAAACGCGAAAGAAAACGGCTCGACTGCCTTGACCCCAAATACTGGTAGATTCACAGAACCCGCGTCACGGAACTCCCGATGCTCGCCTGGCACCCAGCTGCTGTTGGCCATCACCGGAGACGTCCGCCGATAAAACAGACGCTTCTGTTCTAGCCCTCAAGTCCTTGAAAAAGTGAGTACTCTTGATTTGCATTCTTGACCAGCTATTGATCCTTAGTGAGCTTTGAACATCAAAGCTCCAAGAAGATCACCCTCGAAGCTGCGAATCATGTGGGGCAGCCTTGGAATTGGGGTCTTGAGCCACGAGCGAGCGATTGGCCAGGTTGCGTTGGACTTGGCCTGGAGCCTCTCCAACAATCATGGAAGCTGACGATCGGAGGGTTTTGAAAGACTACTTTCCTTTTTGTGGGAGCCGCTTTGTTGGAAAAAGGGACCAGGGACTTTGGGAACTGTCAGGGCCTGATTCATTACGACAGGCTGATTCTGGTGTCAACCATGTGCCAGTGACTTGGGCTGTCATTGAACTGGGTGGCTATGGATGCCTTTGGTGTGTTGCTATCTTGCTATCCCCAGTTCGGTGTTCTATGGAAAGGCCTTTGCAAACACCTGGTGAAAAAAGTGAGTGGAGGTGTCTGCGCTTCTGAAAGGAATGGGAATGGGCAATCAACACTTCAGAGTTCTGAGCACAGGCAGCCTTCCATAAAGGATTTTCACGGGAGAATGTTTCGGGGCCCCAAGCAACCCCGTTTGCACTTGGGTTTCCCCAAAATTAGGGAACACAAATTGTTGCTGTTCTTCTGGTTTGAACACAACCAAAACGAAGAGGGTTCCCCGAAAAACAGTCACACCTACCGGGGGAGAGACAGGAATCTGCCGGCCCTTTTCAAACGAAGCGAGCTTGCTGGCCTTGGGCCATGGGTGAATTCACAAAGGCCGGGCGCGTGTCAAAATAAGGGGCCCTAGTCAGTGGCTTGGTCACTTTCCTGAACAAGGGGTTGATGCCAGGGCTGATTCATTGCACATGTTACTCTCTTTCGAGCATGACTTCTGTGTTCAATTCCCCCCCACCCCGTTCCCATATCCTAGGCCCGTACCCTTTCGGAACTTCCGAACATGAGCCATGAGGACACCCCGAGGTGTGAATGGAAAAGGTTGGGGCGAAGGGCAATTGACGTCCCGAAATGCCAAGGGCCATGAATTCCCTTTAGGGTGTGATAATGCAGCAAATTTCATTGAACGTGTCACATCCTCTGCTTCTTTGCAATCTCTGGAAAATGGCAACGATTCGCCTTTGACATGTTCAAAGCATGCCAAGAGAAGGGGGTCACTTCATTTTGACACACGCCCAGAAATTGCGTTCGCTGAAGCGAAATTCCGGGCGAGTTCTTGCGCCTGTCTCAGCGGATTCCCTCTCTGGCAGTTTTGCCCGTCTCATTAGCAATCGACTCGTCCGCGCCCTGATCAGAGCGAACCATTCGGGTATGTGTCAAAATGGGGGAGCCCCCAATTTGGTGCCTTGAAACCAACCTGAAAAAGGATATCCCCACAAAAGCAAAGAAACCCATTCCGCGTGAGCGCGGGAGAGAGAGAGAGAGAGAGAGAGAGAGAGAGAGAGAGAGAGAGAGAGAGAGAGAGAGAGAGAGAGAGAGAGTGCACCTTATGTCCAAGGATTTATGAGGAATACGAAGCTGCTTTCAATCATCAGTTGCTTTCCCTGGACGTTGCGTGGATTTTCGGAAAGAAGGATCCCTGGAAAGAATGGCGAAGCTATCGCCTGCAAAGAGGAAGTCCCCAACTGCTGAACAATAACACCCAAGAGAGCGCCCGAAGCTGCCCCACGAGCGTCCCTTTTTTCCCGAAGCAAAAAAGACAGACTTGTCAGTTGCTGATCTGGGAAGGAGAACACTTCTGTGATATCAATATGGGCAATTCTCATGAATACTTTATCACTTTGAAGAGGGTTGCTTGTAATTACAGAAAGTATTATGTTCTGCCCCTGTTCCATATTTAGTCTACACTAAAATGTATCGTACAGTTTGAGGAGACCCCAGTTGGTTTCACAGAAAGTGGTGCCAAAACCCTATTTCCAACCATGACTCGGGTGCCCTCGATGAGAAATCTGCCTTGGAGATGAAGTACTCGGCAATGTCCGGATAACCGTACGCAAAGAGGAAGTGAATCCCCGTGTTGCCTGCGCTCAGCTGATTGGCAGATGCATGTGGGGAGGTTGTCAAACCTAGAGGGGCCCTTTGTAGCATCACTTTTAAGAGCCGCACACGCGTTGTATAGGGACCCCCACATATTCACCGCCGCAATAGTCTTCCAACTATATTTCCAGCCTATAAACATCGAAACAAAAACCTTACGTTACATTTTTCCAGAAGGCAATGTTTTGTTAAACCACCAAAAGGAAATCTGGGGAACCTTGCGTGTCCCCAAATTCGATTTCGGTGAACCCTCATTTTGTTGGCACGGCGCTCGCGTGCCAAGGCCTGTGTTTTTAAAAATGACCGCTGCCGAGTGAGCCTATCTCGCTGGTCTTCGTGAGGCATATTTGTCTTTTGATGCATAGGCAGGATGTGTGTCAAGCACATCTGGCTTTCCTTTTGAAATTGCCTAACCAACCCCAAAACGAAGTTAACCCTGAAACACCAGTACCCATGCGCCTTTCTGATTCTGCGCGTCCATGTTGCCACCATACTTGATGGCCTGGTGCGGCTGCACTGTCAGACAGAGGGGTCTTTATACGATACTACAGTAGGTACTTACCAGGTAAATCACCCGAAGGCTTGAAGATGTTCCCCTCTCTCCAAGGGAGGTACAGCAGATGCCCTAAATACTTCAAGTGAGGGTACAAGACCCCCCCCCCCGATTTGCGCAAATGTTCCATGTTTTTTGGTGCTGTGGCTGCTTTACTTGCAACATGGTGGCATCCACCGCATCCGTGGCCACTGAGGGCCGGGCCAGCTTCGCTATCCTCTTGTTGCCATTCTGACATGCGATGTGGAAAAGCCGGTTGCCTTAGCCCCGATGCTTCCCGACATGGGAACGAGTGGGTGGTCTTGTGGGAAGTCTGAGGGCCAACATGTCCCCAACAATAGACTGCCAGAGTCAAATTGCTCAAAGGGCTGGTGCCATTTCATGAGCCTCACAGAGATTTGAGGAAGCTGGACCGATGCCGATGGTGACAAACATCCGAAGGATTTCTAGGATAAATGTGTTGCTGCCTAAAAGCTGTGCCTACGACCCTGAAGTGCCCAGGTCTCAATAAAGCATGCACACAAAATCAGCTGAGCAGCGACTGGCCAACATGGCTACATAGGCTTATGGAGGCCTATCGAGCCCTGAAACAAGGTAGAACCAAGCCACCTACCAAAATGCCCGGCTGCCCAGCTTGCAGAAACGGAATCGGTTTTGGCACATCCACACGTCAGCAAAGGCGCCGAAGGAATCCGCATAGTCCGGGTTGAAGCCAGCTTCCAACGCCGACTCCACGTCTTTGTGCCTGCTGACTGGAAACGGCCCCGACCGTGGCGAATGGTGTAAACCTTAAACCAACCTGAAAAGCGCACCACAAGAGTGTATATATATATAGTTATATATGTATCCTCAAACCCGTTCCCAACCTTTCATGCATGTGCCAAGAAAAGCCTGGACCCTGGTGAAACACCTGGGAGAAAGGTCTGGGAAGAACCCCCGTTGCTTGAATCACTTGAACCGCAGGCCTGCCATGCCTGGCTGCACTGTAGACCTGCACACGTGTGGCTCGGAGACTCGTGTTTGTCGTTTCCAGGAGAAAGAAACTCGCCATTTCTTTGGTACCCCTTTTGTAAAGACAACCATGTAAGATGTGACTTCCACGAAAAGGACCTGCTCCTGCATCGAAGGTCGTGTTGTGTGACACTCTGCAAAAAGTTGCGTGCTTCGCGGGGTGGAACAACTAAGCTACCCTCCCAGCAACAAGCGTGGAGGTACCCCCCCAACAACTCGCACAAACACAAAGTTGATTTCCCACAAAGGGCTACAGCAAGACTTCCTGAGGGAAACCAAAGGACGCAATACCCAGTGCTTCCAGCTACCACTATAGTAACCAGGAGTTTCCCCGTGATGTAAAACCTGGTAGCCATACCTGCTATAGAGGTAACTGGAGGCGCTGGGATACCCTGCGCAGAATTTCTACCCTGGGGGCTTGGTCTCACAATTGAGTCCCAGGTCCCAAAACGCTGACCCCAAAATGGTCAGAAGGATATGCGGCTCAGGGCCCACGCAGGGTCCCAACGCGATACATTGGTCTGGGTGAAATATGACATCAAAATATCATGTGACTCGCAAAACACAACTCCAAATCAGCTGGTGAATGCGATATTCAGCGATCGATTTACCTTGCATATTGTGAACCCGAGGATTTGAAATGATGTCATCGAGCTTACCTTGTGGGGGTGCCTCGTAAGGTTGTTCGTTCGCCAACAGCAACAGCTTTCGGACCAAACTGCCAATCCCGTGCTTGCAGCGGCCCTGGGATGGCTTCCTGAAGGATTCTGAATTTTAGCTCAGGCCTGGCAAATGAACAGGTGCAACTCCCCCAATGTGACCTGGATCTCTACGAACAGACACGATCAATCGCAATCCACCCATGCGTTTTTGTTCATCAACAGCAATTCCGGGGCCAACACAGTTTTGCAACGTCACCCTCCCACCCATCAACATGGAAGTGGGCAGACCCCTATTGAAAGACGACTTTCCTTCGGACCGTGGTCCTGCGTACTTCAATGTCGGCCGCAAATCCCGAGCTTCGTCCTTAACATTAAACCAAGTGCAAAGCAGCACATTATGTTTCGTTAAGTAAAAGAGTTGATTAAACCAAAGATTGTGCCATCTGGGTCTCCTTTTCTGGGATTTTGGACCCCCAAAATGGGGGGACGGTCGCTTTGGTTTTCCCCTTGCCAGAAAAACGGGGGTACCCTCCCACACAGACTCCCACCCATCTACAAGGCCATGGTATGCCTACTAGCTCCACCCACCAACCACGAGTAAGACACACCCGTCTACTTTCGCCCAAGTGTAACCCCCCGAACTCCGAAAACTCCGACTCGGAGCGCCGTACTTTCCGGCGCGGCCTGGCGCGGATCCAGGGAGACCTCGGAGAGGTCCTCGCCTGCGGAGCGGGCAGAAGGAGACGTCAGAAGCAAGGAGAGAGGAAAGAAGAAGAACGGAGAAGAAAAATAAGTAGAGCAAGAGGAAAAAGGAAGATGAAGAAATGTATGACGACAAGAACAAACACACACACACACAAACAGACACGGCAGAGTAGCTGAAGCAGAAGAAGAAGAAGAAGAAGAAGAAGAAGAAGAGCAAGAAGAACAAGAACAATAGCCGCAAGTCGGTTCTAGAACAACAAGAAAACAAGCAACAAGAACAAGAACTAGAACAAGTTGCAGAACACCGAAACAATAACCGCAAAGAGAAGCGGAAGGCAAACAATAAACACAACGAATGATAGGAGCAAACACGTTCACGCCAAGCAAAGCAACAAAACCAAAAACATTCCAAACATAAAACAACAAGCACTGATGAATTCCAAGTTGCTTGAGAAAGGTTGAATAACATATTATGATTTATCTAGATCCTTCTAGGGGCTGGACTGGTGGCTTCCTGCAAGGCGAGTAGCTTTGGATACAGATCTTGACAGTCGCCATTTGGGTACTTCCTTTGTGGGTACCCCCTTTTGGTTTTAAAGGGAACCAAAAGGAACAAGCCCATTTTGGGGGCACCCGATGTCGTGGTTCCAAATGTTCATCCCACTGTGCCTGCGACAAGGACAATCGAGCGAACCTGGTCGCCTGGCACTTCTGTGATGAGACGTGATGAGGTGAGAGGTTCCCTTCAGGAAGTGGGAAACTTCACGGGAGTGGGAAACACTGGTCTTCCCAAAAGGGCTCCAAGTATATGTCCCCTCAAAACATCATCCTGACCAAGAGAACCTCACTGCAGGGCCAGACACGTGATGTCTGAAACCGACCGAAAAGGGGATTTACAGGGACCCCTGACGTGGGCGGCCCAACCTCTCCAAATACCCGGTCAGGGCATGGGACATGCATCTCAAACCGGAAAAATCGATGGCGCCAGCAAAAGAATGAGCATCAAACTGAAACCTGGGCATCGATTTTCAATCAAACTGCCCCTTTCAAAGACAGGGACTAATTCTCAGGAGTCCTTTTTGAGAAACACCCAGTTGAGCTCCCGAGCGCATTTTCGCCCCGAGCCCTGCCCCGGTCTGCCTCCAGCTGCCTCCGGCGGGGGCGGAGGCGGCGGTGGCGCCGGCGGTGCGAACCTGAGGCGAAGATGTCCAGAGGCCGCTCAAGAGGCGCGCCAAAAAACAGAAGGTTGCCTATAATATACCCTCCCACCAGCTAACATGGAAGTGCGCAGACCCCTGTAGAAAGACTACTTTCCTCTTGGAAAGGCCTTTTTGCACTTCCATGTTGGTTGGTGGGAGGGGGCATGAACTTTGGTTGGGGACCCTTTGGTGGACATCATGTAGTTGCAAATTCATGCCCACCACCCGTTTTGAGGGGTTTCCCTATTCGTACTGTGGATGGGCGAAATCCTGCACCATCTAAGAAACCCTGGGATGATGATTCCAACGGTTTCCCATGGCTTCAAAGTGGTGCAGGATTTCGTCCATCCACAGTATGACTGCCAAGGGAAACTATGGGCCCATCAGGTGATGTTTGAAACCAAGTTAATTGTGACTGGCGCATTGGCCCACGGGACCTGCTGATTTTGCCCCCTTTCCTTAGCGATCTTGATATTTGCTGTCCCAATTAAGCAAAGGTTTGATCACACTCCTTAGCCCCGCCTCAGGTTGATTGACATGTTCATTCCGCAACTAAGCTTGTGGTACACCTTGCCGCCAAGATGGTGGTTTGGTTTTGTAGTTTGGGGGTTTGAACCTCTGGTTCTTGTTGAGGGTTCATGGGAAACCAACTCCTATTTTCCAAAGCACCAATCCAACCACCAATTAGAGGGAAGCTGATTGGCGTGGCCTCAGTGAGGCTTGTTTGGGGGGGATCTTCTTGTGGCCTTACTAAGTTTCTGCTTTGTAGGGTGTCCCCAGTAGGGGGCATGACAAAAACATGGAACTGAACAACCAAAGCTACGTTGCTGAACCAACCAACCAACCAACCAACCAACCAACCAATCAGCCAACCAACGGCCCCAAGCGACCAATGCACCAACGTAGCCAAAACGCAGCTTGGTTCACATTCACCCCATGGTTGCTTTGTGGGGAGTGCCTGCAAGATTGCAAACATCAGGGGTATCTTATCTAGCTGAGTGTTTGCCCCACACAATAAATCGTGCGGTCAGATTCTGGTCCACATGTACTGAACCTAATACATGTACACCTCAAGAGTACCATTTCTAATTCAGGAGATCCCAGAAAAGGACCTCGAGCAAAAAGGGCCAGTCAATGGCCGCGTGAAAAGGGCCCTTTGCAATGAGTCGTGTTGACTCCCTTTTGCCCTCCCAACCGGGGAGTCCTAGTTTCGACACGAAAAGTTGATGCTTGTTTGTCAAAAGCTTCATGGTGTTCTTGTGGTTCACCTGTCGCTGGGAGACCGTGTCACGACTGCAAGGGTACATTACGATCTACGTTTGACGAATAGGTCTCTCCCCTGTTGGTTGACTTTTGAAGGGAAAAACAAACATCATCAGGTGCTTCTATGTGTTTCATTGTGTTGTTGTTTTGCGGGGTCACGGCGACCTCGACCTCCAGATCGGAGACTTTTTTGCATCGGCTTTGAGTGCAACGAGGTACCCTTTGGTTTGGTTACAGGCATGGCCAAGCCGTTTGAAGATGACAATTGCTTTAACCACCTCTTCTTTGCTCCGCTAAAACAAACCAAAGGGGTTTGCCGCACTTCTGAAGAGCTCTCTTGGGCAAAGTCCTATGGAAATGACATGAAAAAAGGCTCCATCTGAATCACATCATGATCAACCCTCTCCCAAATCAAACGTTGATTTGGCTACAACCACGTGGACAAGTTGCTCTTAGCCCAATATATAAAACCAGCAGAAAGCAGAAACCCTATGCTGCAGCAACGAAAGCGTCTTTTACCCCGCGGTGCCAGTTTACGGAAGTTGTGAACCCATCCGTGCAGAGAAAAACTTGCCAACCCTTCTTTGCTTGTCAAACAAATATCCTGGGGCCGTGTGTTGTTTTTACGAATGATCCCCTTCTGGAAAGATTAGCATTGATCAACCTTCTCTGAAAGGCCCGGGAAAGATGGTTTCAAACATTGAAATGAGTGGTCAAAATGTGGTTTTGCCGTTAAGGGAGAAAATGAATGGCGGTGGTTGAAATTTAGATCGGGCGATGTCCAAACCCCTTAGGTGTGTCCTACATATATGGTTGTGTCAAAATAGGGAGACTGCTACCTTTTTGGCTTTTTGGATTTCCTTGATGTCCACTTGAACCAGCAAAAAATATTTTGGCAGTTGCCGGTAGCGAGCAGAATCCATTAAGAACCCGTTGAAACCTTCCGGATTTCATTTCTGCTAGGTTGAAACCTCCCATTGCTTTTCTACAACCATTACAAACAACTAGGTTTACATGGCTTTTTCCACATCCCATCATTTTTCCACTAGGTTTACTAAACCCTTACAAACAGACAGACCCGGCCAAGCGCTCCTCAGCACGCGGAGCGTCTCTAGGCTCACGTGAACTCAGAACGAGCGGCGCATCGAAGGCTGCGGCCATCACCGCCTTCTGCTTCCGCCGGTCCGCGGCCTACAGATCGTTTTCGGCCCAAAGGACGGATCTCATCAAACAATTAGTGGGTCAAAATGAGGGAGACCCGCCCAAAACCCCAAAGAAACTGGGCGGTTTGCACTTGTTCGAAGAAAAACCAAAAACTAACACTACCTGTTCGAAAAAAATGGGGAGACAGACCCCTCTCTGTATACAAAATGTGTATTTTTTGGCTTGCATTTGTTATTCCCTTTACAAACAATGCAGAAAGGTACCGATTGACTTGTGTCAAGGTTATATAGCGGCCGTCTAGATGTGTGTGTGTGTATATATATATAGATTTCTTCTACTATACCCGTTTTCCCCCCGGGGATAGTGGATTGAAACCAACCATACACAAGGGAGCTGAGTATGTGAGCCCAGGACATTTGCAGCAGGTGCTTACATAACAAGCTAAGCAACATGGGCCAGGTTCAACATGGGGGGCAAAGGGCCCTCTGCGAGACCAAAGCGGGCTTTCTGTCCACATGACTACTTGCTCACTGAAATCACAGTGTGCCTGAAGCCCAGCTGTCCACAACTATGAAAGTACACAAACAAAACAAGGGCACATGACTCAGGAAGTCACACGCTCGAATTGTCTTTTAAACAGCCACAAAATGAGCTTCTCTTTGAGAAGAATAAATGACTGTCTGGACAAATGTAGACTGTCCATATCAGTCACAATCAATCCTGGTGTTAACATGGTCTACCCAAACCAACGTGAAGAACAAAAAAGACGGCCGCACCTAATTCTGGAACCCGTGATATGAAACTCTTGTTCAAGGGATACTGAATGAATTACTCATGTCTTGATTGGAACTCCAACACGCCAAATGGATTTGGGTCATTTCGGGGCTGGGATGTTCGAAGTGTGATCCAAAATTGGTGCAAACCCGCTCGTCAGGTCAAGATGTCCCATCTCAGACGCATCTATGTTGGCCATCCGGCTAAAGCCGTGAATGCGAGAGGGAGGGCTACTGGAGCTAAATCATTCAAAGGGCACTCGCCTGCAATCCGCCTTTCCAAAAGGTGATGCTGGAAGCGGATGGAAAGTATCATATACGTATACATGTACGGATACATACATAAACTCATTTAAAAGCTGCAGCCAGAATACGCGGTTGCAGTAAAAGACATGCTGAAAGATGAGGTTCTGGCCTCTGATTTGGTTGAAATTGATATTCTGTCTAAGCCTCATACATACCCCAACACCCATCACAATCACCATGGGAGCGAAGAGGGACCTACATATGAGCCCTGCATGGCGCTGAGTGTGCGCCTCACGTCGTTCAAGCGGCTGGCTGTAGGTGACACCTGAGTGCACTGAAGGTTTCCACCCAAACCGAAGCAAAACCTGGGTGTATGCCCTTTGTGTAGTCGCAGCATTCTACACGGGTATGTCTTTTTGTAGGGGACCCTGAAACATGTTCCTTTTGGTGCTGTTTGAAACCAACAAAAATCAGGTACCCTCAAAACAGACAAACCAATACGATAACATTGTCCATTGAGATGCCCTTTCAGTAAAGTAGACAGTCATGGGCCCGTTTCCCGCAACCATGTCGTTCAGGGCGTCCTATGTTTCTGTTTGTAGTTGCAAAGCTCACCTGTTGCGCCTTTTTTTCAAGCTCTAAGTGAAGTGAGTCTGTGGTTGCCCGCAAACTGCTGTACCCCCAGCGAATGGGTGACGGCTACTCCCTGGACAATATTTGCCGTGGGACATTTTGGGGCTCGTCCCCTGGTTCTTGTGTGGGTCCCAAAAAGGACCACAGGATGTGTCAAAAGCAGGGGCGGGTCCTGCTACACGGTGGGCTTCCTGGCTGTTTCCGCTTGAAATGAACCCGTGTGGGGTGCGTTTGGATCAGACACATGTTTTCAGTGGTGTTTGATTCATGCTTATGCCATTCTCAAGATGACATTTGAATAAAGACGTTTAAAGCGAAGACGTTTGACGCAATGCAATAAGAGTTGCAACCTATTCTCGGCTACTCAGGTTAACTGCTACATGTTTGTGTCACGTTGTCACAATCGACCCATCACGTCAGGACTGCGCGGAAAGCAGGCAGCTTTCAAGTCGGCTGTTTTTGTCGAGCGACAGAGACTGTTTCCCAGGCCCTTCCGGAATAGCCGGTAAACGATGGAAGACGACTCACTCCTACGCTCTATCCCTACGCCATAGCCTATCTTGTTTGGATTTCTATCATCATGAATTATTATTTGGATGAGTCTTTATGGCGTAGCAAAGGTAAAAAGAAAAGGAATTAGACATTAATGTGTCAGAGGTTTTACAGATAATAGCAATCAAAAGGAAAATTATTAATCTCTGATCTTCTTCTTCATGTTTCTTTAGTTATTTGTTTGTAGCCTGTAATCTTGGTTTTATGGATAGAGAGCTAATATCTTGGCGAAGCTTAGAAAGAAGAGCTCCTGTTCCTCTCTTCGCTCGAGAAAAATCCAGACGTTGGAAAAGTCATGA